CATATGAAAATGGGAAGTAGAAGATTAGGTCTAGAATAAAACACTCCAGAGGGGTTCTGCAGCTGCTATAAGGAATTAAGAACCTTTTATACATTCTTCAAAATACCTAAAGAAAATCCTAGCTATCCCCATTATCAAAAATCCTCCTTTCTTACATATTTTGGGCTATATTTTTATCACATTTCTTTGTGCATTTCCATTATTTTTCCATGATTTTCTCGATGTGAAAATTCCTTAAAAAAAATCTATCTCGCTGGCCTGTGTTGCTCAGTTGGTTGGGCTTCTCCCCACACACCAAACTGTCGCTGGTTTGATTCCTGGTCAGGGCACAGGTTAGGTTGCAGGCTCGATCTCGAGTAGGGGGCATGCTGAAGGCAGCTGATGGATCTCTCTCTCTCTCTCTCTCTCTCTCTCTCTCTCTCTCTCTCTCTCTCAAAATAAGTAAGTAAATAAATAAAAATACAAAACAAAAAACGATGAGAACCACATACATGCTTGATGCTTGTATGCCTCTTTGGCTAGAGGTTTCCCTCTCTAATAGAGTTGACTGAATATCCTTGTCCTTAAAAACAGCATCTACCAAAAGCTACGTTAGTTTTTTATCTATAGAGAAGGGGTGGTGATAGATGCTGTGCCTATCCACAAATATTTATCGTGTACCTAGTAAAATATTAACATCAGTAGTCAACATTTTTGAGTACTTGATTTATAGCAAGCATTGCACAAAATGTTTTTACTTTTTTAGTTTTTGTTAATCCTCACATGAGGATATTTTTCCCATTGCTTTTCAGAGAGAATGAAAGGGAGGGAAGGGAAAGAGGGAGAGAAAGAGAAAGAGAGAAACATTGATGTGAGAGAGACACATTTACTGGTTGCCTCCTGAACATACCCTGACAGGGGATTGGTAGTGAATCCAGTATGTAGGTATGTGTCCTTGACCAGGAATTGAACCCTAGACCCTTCGGTGCTTGGGATGACGCTCTAACCACTGAGAAACACTGGCCAGGGCTGCACTAAATGTTTTGAGCACACTATTTGTTGTTATCTTCACAACTACCCTATGTAGGAAATACTTTCATTTTATAGACAAAGAATCAGGGGCTTGGAGAAAATGTGTGCTATGCTTACAGTTATGTGGCTATCTAGTGGATGAGGCAGAGTTTGAACTCATGACATATGACTGTAAAGCCCACTCTGCTCCTTCTCTATTGGCCAGGCATTCTGTAGACAACCTGGGAAATTTAAAGAAATAGAAAACCCAGTCTCGCCGAACCGGTTTGGCTCAGTGGATAGAGCGTCGGCCTGCAGACTGAAGGGTCCCAGGTTCGATTCTGGTCAAGGGCATATACCTTGGTTGCGGGCACATCCCCAGTGGGGGCGTGCAGGAGGCAGCTGATCGATCTCTCTCATCGATGTTTCTAACTCTCTATCCCTCTCCCTTCTTCTCTGTAAAAAAATCAATAAAATATATTAAAAAAAGAAAACCAGTCTCTGGCTTGAAGTTCTCACACAGCATGTGGAGTGGCCATGCTTGGCAAGGGGCCCTCCTGGGCCCATTTATGCCTGTGCCAAAAGAATAGAACAGACAACCTAAGCTGGCCGCATGTGCCCCTGAGCATTGGAAAGGGGAGGGGACTTCAATTTAAGGAAATCAGGTATTCTTTGGAGGCCACCTTTAGCTCAAAGCTTGCCTCCCATGTCCATGACCAGCAGAGAGCAATGGAGACACATTTAAAGAATCAGGAGACCATCTCAGCAAGAGCCAGGGCTGTAGATCACTGAACTTGAATCTTTTCCTGATTGAGAGTTTTTCACTTCATCTCTCTAATGTCAGCATTCTTACTCACCTATTCTGGCAAAACAAGTGGTTGTTTCTAAAATCTGTTTCCCAAGTGTTAGTTTAATTAATAAAGGGAGTGTTTCCCAGCTTCTCTATTCTTTAGTTGTATAGAATCCTATACAACTATAGTTTAGTCCATGTCCCAAGGGGGGTGGGGAGGACAGAGTCTATGTCTTTCGTCTTTCTTTTTGCTTTTAAAAATGTGTGAGTTGGAAAGTTTCCAGAGAGAAAGAGATATTAAAGCTGCTGACGTTATCTTGTCAACCAAAGCACCCTGTCCACGGGGTCATGCGCAGGAGAGAGAAGGACCTTTAATGGAGCGGTGTCTTTGGACACCCACCATAGTTTGTCAGTTTGCAGGTGCTAATGGAGCCAGGCTTGGTGACTGAAGGGGAAAATGGAATATGAAAGCAAAATGAAAGAGGCCCTTGAAGCAAGCATGTCATTTCTAAATGAAGGTTTCATGCAAAGGGATTGAGTCTTTTTACAGCTGCAAATGGGATTTTTAAATAAGATGAAATAAAAGGACACTTTGTCTCCTTGCAGGTTCTGTAATGAAATACAGTTTTCCTAATACCGTGGGACCCGCATTTCTCCCTGTTTCACGGTGCTATTCCTTAACGTACACACCCGTATTTTCTCAAGTCAGCATTTGATGATGGATGTCAAAATACAGGCCATGTATTATGCATATAGCATTGCCGATTTAAGGTGTTTACTTGTCAAGTTGGAGAAATTCAGAAACGTCACATCCACTGAATCTGCGCAGCTGTCACTTGCAGTTTTTCACGCTTTTGAACGAAAGTTCTGATGAAAACAGTTTAGTTTCTCCTTCACTATTCTGGGGCAAGAAAACAGCTAGCATTCCACATGCATGTTCTTGGTTATGTGGTTGGCTGAGACACACACATTCCAAAGTTCAGAAAGGTGGACACGATGCTGTCATTGGAAATTACTTACCCTGTACATAGTATGTCAATATAAAGAATAAAATTAAGTGCAATCAGGGAATGAAAAGTAAATAAGACTTTTATCTTTCTGAAAGTATGGCATTCAATAGCATGAAATTTGTATATGGAAGACAGGAAAGAGGAAACATTTTTATCTTCTGGCATTTCATGCATCATGCTCCTCACAAACAACAGGCAATTATTGAGCACATGTCATTTCCTTCCTGAGAGGGATTCGCACACAGGTCACGCCAGAGTCAAGCCCATCTTCTCACATTACTGCAGAGTAAGTGGGGAGACTGGTCACACAATCTGCTCGGAATTTTGTCCTTGGAAACTTAACAAGTGACTTTGTATCTGTAAATCCCGAATTCATTGATGAGCCCACATAGCAGTCCTTCAAGGGCAAAGAAGAAAACCCGGAGTGAACGTGTCTGCCTGTCCTCTAAGGTAGAGGAGCGGATGGGTCCCTGTGGCCGGCACAGAGCTGATGTACCACTTGGTTAAATGAATGTTCACTGTATGAATGTGTGAGGTAAATTCATGTCTCATGTTCATGTGTATCTGTGCACATCCTTAAAGAGGCAGCCATTCAGCCTAGCTGGGGTGACTTCTCACCCTCACTAATCTTGAAGTTATGGCTGGGTTAAGCTCATCCTAATATGCACTTGGGATTTGGGTCTGAGGCCCAAAGAAACCCAGAACACAAAAATCATACACCAAGCGGGCTACTTTCCAGTTCACTGTGCCCACTTCTGTGTTAGGAGGTCTGTGTTAGGCACACTGGGAAGTGCACGGGCCCACTCTGAGCAAGTGGCATATGCATCAGTCAGGATGATTTTAGTTGCAAGTATAAAAACAAAACCCAACTGATTTTAAAAAGCAACTAATTTTGGCTTAAAAGGGATATATATTATATACATATAAGTATATTCATATATATAAGTACATAAAACCATCCTACCTCAGGATTTCTTCCTACAGGAGATTTAATATATAGATATATAGATATGTAGATATGTATATAGTTTATATATAATTTATATAATATTTATATATGTAATTTACTTATATAAAATTATATAAAATCTTATTATATACATACTAGTATCATCATATATATAGTTTACATATATAACTTATGTATATAAAATTTATATATATAATTTATATGAAATATTATTCTATAGCTATAATCATATATATAGATAGATATATAGATACAGATATAGATATAGATATAGGTATAGATATATGAAATCTCCTGTAGGAAGAAATCCTGAGGTCAGTTGGTTTGGGTTCCAGGGCTGGTTCATCAGGAACTCAAGGAATACTCTTCCTGTTGTTTTGTCTTTCATCATTCAGTTCAGCCGATATCATTCAGCTGACTTTGTCCTCAGCTGGTGCCCATCCTGGTACGAGTTGGCTGCCACAGTTCTAGGCACTGCAGGCACAAAAGCAATGTCCAGTGAATTAAAAGAGAATCTCTCTTCCTATGTGATTCTTTTTAAGAGCAAGGAAACACCCCCTAAAAGCCCCCAAGATTCTCAACCACTTCCCCTTGGCCAGAACTGTGTCAAAAACCTAGGTAAGCCTCGCTGGCAAGAGAGTAAGCAATCAGTAGGTTTATGATAACAAGATAGGTTAGGTCATGTTGTGTTGACAACAAACAAATCTCAGTGTCTTAAAGCAACACAGATTGCTTGTTCCCTCACTCAGAATGCTTTGTGGGTCTGGGCTACTGTCCAGGGCTGCTTCACAGCCGTCTTCTCTACAGTTGCCGTGGTCTGGGAGGACAGGCGGTGGGTTGATCTGTACCATAAGTGATGATCTGCATGGTTCTGTTCACTTTTCATGGGCCAGAACATTTCCTATGTTGCCTGGTCACATCTAACTTCTAGAAGGCCCTTGGGTATAATTCTCACGTGTGTCTGCGTGGAGAGGGGAACAAAACTCTGAGCAACATCAACAATTCTTGTAGAGACTGGTTTTTAGAGAACTATCAAAGTGGGCTACAATTATTTCCAATCGTCTCCTACTTTGTTCTTCTAAAAACAATTCATCAGAGTTTATCCTAGCAGTGCTAATTGTTGACCTATAAATAATGCATATGCTACATTTTTTTTATTGTGTATATACCCTGAACTCTCATTATTTTCAAATTTTCCTCAAAACTGAATTTTCTCCCTTCTCTTTTTACTTCCCACCAGGGTTCACACCTCCAGGAATGGACAGAACCTCGCCAGACAACAGCCCAGTGCACGGGATGTTGCGTCAGCCGTCCATCACAACTGGGGTCAACATCCCCATCATCACTGAACTAGGTAGGGGTGAACAGTAGCCATGGGCAGAATTTTTAATTCTCTCTTCCAACCATGTCGGATAAGAGGAGGTTGGCCTGGTTTTTAGCTCCTTCAGGATAGTAGACTCTAGTGGGGTTTGTTTAGAGGAGATTGAAGAAAGCATGTGTAGAAATATCAGATTAGCAAAAGGGAAAACTGATCTATGTTTCCTCTGAGATGAATAGACAGTTTCCTTCATGCTGGTCACTGTTTTCAAGGGCATATATGATGATGGATTTTAAATTGGGGCATAAATCAGGGCAGGGAGAAGAAGGAAGGAAGGGCATAGCCCGTGGACTCCTGGTAATTCTCATGGGAAGCACCTCTGGACAGCTCCTAGAGTTAGAACCCTCCACGGAGGCACCAAGCTCCAGCTCTAAGCAAATCCCATTTAGAAAGTGGAGAGAAGTGGCCTAATTTGTCATAACACTACATTTACCCTGTCCTCACTGGACTTCTCAGACCAAGGCCATTTTCAGTGAAGGCCACTCGGGTCCAAAAGCGATGGGGTTTTGAGGGCCATGCTTGCTGGCCAGTGGAATCCCACTTTTAGCCTGACCATGACACTCCCTGCTTCCACTATAAATACTACCTACCTATGGTCCAGGTCCCGGGTCCCTTTGCTTTAGAATGTTTCCTCTGTTATTCCCTCACTCTTTTCTTTTTCTGTACTTTCCTCCACTCCCTTTCCCCAACCCTTAAACGCTGTATCCAATTAGCTAAACCTGGCAAGTTGCCTTTGGTATCAGTCAATCAGGAAAAAAACAGTGGGACGCACATTCTAATGATAACTGAACTGGGTAAGAAGCACTGTTTTCCTTGACATCAGTATCTCTTTTGTTCTGTTGTTGGTGTTCCCAGCCATCATCAGCTTGTTTTTTATTTCGCCGGCTGTAACAGAAAGGCTACCCCATGGCACTGCTTTGAATGCGTTTTATTTGTGGCTCTGGTTGGAATCGACTGTCTTGTTCTGGCCTTTCTTAATGATTTCCCCACACACGGCACCAGGGAACCTTTGATCACACCCATCTGACCTGGCAGTTGTTTTCAAAGCATCTTTGCTCTAATGCATTTTCTTTGGCCTGGGCCTTGTGTGTTTGTGTGTGTGTGTGTGTGTGTGTGTGTGTTTCTGTTTTTTTTTTTTCTTTCTTTTCCACGTGTCTCCCTGCTCTCCCTGCTCTCCCGCCTTCTCCCTTCTACTCCTCTTCCAACACACTGTCAGCTTGACTGACATGTCTTCACAGCTCTCAGAGGAAGTCGAAGGAAAAATATAAAAATTTTAAGATAAGAAACCTAAGATGGTGCCTTCCCTCCAGCTGTTTATTTTCCTTTATTCTGACTTTATTTGCCTTTTTTTTCATACTAGGCCCTTTCTCAGAAGCTCTGGTTCTGAAGCTATAAAAGCAGCCAGCTCCTAGGGGACTTTTCTTTCCAAAGCAGATTTCAGGAAGGGTGCCAAGGATGAGGTTAGCAGCACGGGGGGCGCAGCCCTGACCCCTCCCTGCTGGCCCAGAACCCGCTCTAGGAGATTCAGAGTGGACTCACCGGGAAGACGAAGGACCGGGTCATGACTGCATTTGTCAAGCCCTTCCACGGGTCCCCACGACTTGGTTAATACCTCTATGAAAGGCACCCATCAGCAGCCGGCCTCAGAGCTGGGGATTGATCTTCTAAATAGAGACAGCGAAAGTGCTGCTTGGCAGAGGGCTGGGCAGAGAGGTGGGAGCACCTGCCTTCAAATGACTCACAAATGAAACTAACATGCCATTTTCTTGGCCCCCAAATATATTTCAAAATAAAAGAGCAGCTTTTAACACAGTCATCTTGCTTGCAAGGTGTCTAGGAACTAAGGAATAAATTGTCCACCACTCAGCACCACATTATTGTAGACGTAGCTATTTATCAGGACAAATTCCCTCAGGTCGAGGAGTATCACACTATTTTTTTGTTTCCACCAGTGGAAGAGGTGTCTTTTCGTGTTTAGAGAAGTTGGCTGAGAGCCTCGGTTTCGGGAATGCTCTGCCCCAAATCTTAGTGTTGCCGGAGAGCCAAGGAGCTCCTGCAGCCCCGACCTCTGGTTGGAAAATCCATGCGAGCGTGTCCATCTCAGAAGCCTTCAGAGCATTTCAGAATTCTCAGTGCCAGGAATTGCTTTTCCCATTTGGAACTCACGTGCTGCCAGCTAGCTAGGACATCTTGACCTGTGATTAGTAGAAGAGAAAAGAAACAGTTTGGTGCCCCAAATCTGAGGCAACAATTCAGACCTTCAGTGAGCATCGAGTCTCCTGAGGTCTTTGTCCTCACTAGATGTCTACCGTTAGCTCGGAGAACTTCCCGTGTTCCCATGATGCCCATAGCCTGTGCCTTCGACATTAAGCCCAATTTTCCTAGTGGTCAGACCACCTTGGGCAATCATACAATCATTCTCTGACCACCTCACCTCCTCGGTCCCCCCAAATATTTACTATTTGCCTACTACATGTTTTGAGATGTGTTCTACATACTCCAAGCCAGCAAAATGCACTTTGAGAACCACAGAGGATGCCAAGGTCAAATAAACTTAAAATTGTGTAGTGTATTCCAGTCGTCACCCATTTGGAGAGTTCCAATTGATGTTGGTGAGTGGAAGTCTTACAGGAAGGACCATTTTAAAGCTGTTCAACCTGCCTGTTTTCCAGTTGTATTTGACCTTGTACCTATCGGGGTGATTGTTTTAATCACGTCTTAGCACCTGCATAATGATTGTTCTGTAACATAGGATGAGGGTAACACTGGCTGTGCTCCTCCCGAGACCGGGTAACTCAAAACAGTGCACAGGATTTTCACTGAACCCTGGCTCACACCCTGAAGTCTGTTACCAGTGATTCAAACCCCAGACTGCTGAAAATTTAGACCCACCTCTCCTTATTTTGGCTATTTCCCCTCTAAGTCTAGTACCAGCCTTTCCTCATCATCATGAAGAGAGGTAACCGCTGCTCCTCCTTTTGGGGTGTCCATACACACTCCCCCCTGAGCTATTACAAATAATTAATACCACGTCCTCTGCATGTTGTCCCAGGTCACATTTTCTGATTCACAAAGTAGGAAGACTCAACAGCGGCCAACCCACGCATGCTTGCGGGTACATGGAGGGAGGTGGGGGAGCTACGAGTTGACCCTGGTAGGATCCCTGAGTAGGCCTTACGGGCTTCTGAAAGCTGGGGATTTCCATACATAAGGGGTGGACTGAAGGTTTAGTGTCACAAAGGCGATTCTGAGAGCAGCTAACATCCATCAAGATGCTGGGCCAAGCATATTGGTGTCCTGGCAACCTCACGAGAGGGGCTGTCATGCCCCATCTACAGAGGGAGAAACTGAGGTGTGCAGTGATCATCTACAGAGGGAGTGAGTGCAGAGCCTGAACCCAAAGCCTGCTTGTCAGACCCTGCATCTTGCACTTTTACCCACGAGCCTGTGACTCAGTGCTGCTGCGACCATGGGACCCGGATGTGATACACTGAGGAAGACCACAGCCAGGATTTCTCCCCATTGGAATCTTTCTCTAGGGAAAGTGTCATTTAAACATAATTCCGTGCCTAGCTTTCCATCCTATTACCGTTTATTCTGATTCATACAATAAATAAACAAAAGTTAGAAAAGAATTGTTACCCAAAAAGTTACTTTTGGGGGAAAACTACTCTAGGAAAGAGAATTAGCTGCTAATGCTTTAGGAAGGAATCAGAAAGAGGAAATCAAATTGATTCTTTTCCTAAAAGCACAATAATTATTCTAGAAATCACCAGTGCTCTCTTCCCCCACCACAGACTTTCCCCCACTGTTACTTGCTCTGCAAAACTGATCACTGAAGTCAAGATGGGAATGGAAATTAATTTGTCATTTAATTTTTAATAAGTTAAAGGCATCTCAGTGACACAGCCAATCAGTCTGCAGGCGCGCGTGCCGGAGGAGTCCTTGAGGAATCCTCAGACGGAATTAAACACTGCACCCGGGGCTGCATCTGCAGAAGCTGATGCGCCGGAAAGACAGCTGTTTAGGAGGGGAAAGGGAGAACGTGGGCATCCCAGCGCCTCGGATGCAGAGCAAGTCTTTGTCAGCTGCTTGCTGGAGGCAGCCCGCAAACACCCCACGTGGGGTCGCCTTTGTATTAGCATGGCTTGTGGGGTGTCCCCCAGATTCAGGGCTGGGGATACCAGCCACTACCCAGGCAGATCTCGGGGCAGGGTGTGGGCTGTGCCTGCCTGCGGGTGAATTCTTGGCTCTTTGCCTCTGCTGTGCTCCCAGTCAATTGCTCTTCCCTCTTAATAGGTTGCTTTCTTTTCCTTGTGGCTAAACTTACCACCCAGCATGGCTAATCCTGGCTACTCATCCTTGAACTATGCCCGTCTCTCAAAGGGCTTGGCTACCAAAAAACACTGCAGGGTGTTTTTCGGTCATGATTCTAAAACTATACCAAAGGACTGACCAGCACTGTCCGCTCGTCCTCCCGCAGCCTGCCATGGGGCAAGCCTGCCTGAATGCACTGCCCTCCGGGCCTCGAAAACTTGGTCAGGAGGAGCAGGCCCTGAGTCCCACGGCCTCACCCCCAGACCCATCCATAGCTTCTCCCATGCTTTCCTTCCCAGTGACCTCACTGCTCCTAAACCACTAGCCTGCTCTTCCTCTGTTTTCACTGATGGTGTGTAGTTTTTTGAGCTAATACTTATTTATGCTTTTTCTAGTGAACGATACTAATGTTCAATTTCTGGACCAAGACGATGATGATGACCCCGACACAGAGCTGTACCTCACACAGCCATTTGCCTGTGGGACAGCATTTGCCGTCAGCGTCCTGGACTCTCTCATGAGTGCGGTGAGTGGGTGCGGGATCCGGGAGTGGAGACCTCCCAAATGAGGGGTGCGGGGCAGGAGCGTGAGCGGCCGTGGAGCCTGGAAGGGGATCCCGACGTTCATCAAATTATCAAGCACATAAATGTTGATTAAAATTCTTGAAGGTTCAAGGAAAGCTATGAATAAATATAGGTGAACTCTTGACCTGGTCTCAGGTTCAGAGAGAGATTCCATAAAGAAATAATACACATTTTATTTCAAAGTCTGAGCAATAAAGAGGGGAGATTTTTTGAGGAACAGTGTCTCCTAAAGAGGAAAGCAAGTGCAAAGGCCTTGGGGTGGTTGAACCTGACAATCTCAAGGAAGCCAGAGAAAGCCTGTGTGGGTGAACCACAGTGAGAGGGACGGGGGAGAGGGGTAGAGGGAGGGAAGGTTGTTTTGTGTTTTTTTATTCTCATCCTAGGACATGCGTAAAGAGGGAGAGGGAGAGAGAGAGATCAATGTGCGAGAGAAACATCCATTGCCTGCCTTCCATATGTGCCCCAACTGGGGATCAAACCTGCAACCCAGGTATGTGCCCTGAACAGGAATTGAACCAGCAACCTTTGGGTGTAGGGGATGATGCTCAACCAACTGAGCCACCAAGCCTGATGGTCTTTTTATTTAAAGAGCGATGAGGAGGCACCGAAGGGTTTGGAGCTGGAAAGTGCTGTGATCAGGTTTACATTCTAAGGGGACTGCCTGGGCTGGGGTGTGGAGGATGGTTCAGGAGGCAGGATGGCAGCAGGAAGTCTGAGTAGGAGGCTCTCATAGCTCAGACTAGGATAGGGCTGCAGAGAGGAGGGAGTTGTGTGGATTTCAGCGGTGATTGTTGGTAAAATTGAAAGGACTTGGGAAGAGATTGAATATGAAGAGAACAAAGTGTCAAGGGTGACTCCTAGGTCAGTGCCAGTCACTGAGACATAAATTGTGCGTGAGGCCCAGGAGTGAGGACCTGGCCCCGACTGTTCTTTGCGGCAAGGAAGGACTGGAGTGGTGGCAGAGAGCGGAGGGTGGGCTGGCCAAGGGACCAAAAGCATCTTTAGTTTCTCTATAACGTGCATTGTTTTATTCACTTTTGGGACTAAAAGCAAAGAGCAATTAAAAAATAGGTCCCAGCTAATGGAGCCATCCTGAACTATAAAAGCAGACATTTGAATGGATCATAACCTGCGGACTGTGACATGTTCCCACTGAGAGTCTTTATTTATTATATAGAAAAGGCTCTCTATTTTGGAACTCTCAAGTCGCCATTTTTGATAATGCAGCCATAGGCTGGATAAACACTGACCTTTGGAGAATCCATGAAGAAGAGTTTTATTGAACACATTAAGATATAAACATAGCTCAGAGAGGTTTTATACACGTACATTTCTTAAAGAGCTTAAGAAGGCTGTTCCCCTGAACACGTTATACAACCGATATGCTAATTATGCATTATTCTCATCTATTCATCAAAGACTATCCCAGGACCTCTATTTGAAGAAAAAAAACAACATAAAGCTTTTTAGGACTTATTTAGGTTACTGTCTATTCCTGAATGTGGTCCAACTGCAAGTATATCTGAGTTAAAAATCAGAATTATGGATTTAAAAATAATTGTGAAACAGCATTCATCTGAATTAAGGCTGACTGGGCTCCGTGCCACACAACTGCTTTCCAAGCCAAGCAGGAGAGGAAGTGATCCCGGGGAAGGGCTCTCTGGTCTCCCAGCCTGTGACTTCCTAAGGCCTGAGGATCCTGAGCCCGGCCTTCCTTCCTGCTGGTGACGGGGGCTCAGTTTGGGCAGCCTCCTTCGGCAGGCTGAACAGATGATAGAAGCTGGAGGACGTGCTTGTTACACTACTGTATTCTCTGCAGCGGTTCCTCTAGTCTCCAGATTCAGTTTCCAGCAGATTTCTGTAATTCGTCTCTTTGAAAATGTCATTTTACTTCTGATCCCAATTAGAGAGATTATAGAAGGCTGTTCTCACTAAGAGATAATTAAACTGTTGTTTTTTTTCAGAATTGCAAATACATTAATAAATATTTTAAAATTCAAATTTATAAAATTATTTATGTTTTGACATACCAGACATTCAGTATATGCCAGGCAGGACCAGATTACATCATTTTCAAGGCCACTTTTTCATAAATTATTAAGAATTTCAAAATGGTGGCAGCAGGATATTAAACCAAGTGAGGGGCCCTTCTGAGCATGGATCTTGGGCAACGACACAGGCCACACACCCATGAAACCAGCCCTGGGTCCAAGGAATAAAACTGGTTTTGAGCCCCAGGGAACTTCAGTTCTATACAGCCAAGGGACACATGTTAGCCATGGGGTGGGGGTGGGGGCACATCTGGATTGAGCTGCACAGCTATCTGTCTACTTTATCACTGGGGAGTCAGTTCTTGGAAACTCAGATGAGAAATCACAGTGAATTGGTTTGAATTTTTTTTTAAAAAGCCATCACTAATCTCCTTTGAAAAGTGAACTAAAGTGTTTGGGAGAGGATGGCTAAGGCATGTGTGCCTGCAAGTCTGTGGGCAGCTTTTCCTCTGAATTCCAGCCTTGGAAACAAGGGATTGGGAATCTAGTGCCTGTCATGGTAATTCCCAGCAGCAGCAGCCTTTCTGGAGGCCCAGAACTGTTCAGGCATGTCAGCTGTAGTATCTGATCTGTTGGACAAAACATGAATAAACTTAGTCTAAGTGATGAAGCAAGACATTCTTAACTGATGCACTGATAGTAACTTTTCAAATAATTAACCCAAATGCCAATGATTCCAGGCCTTGCTAGCATTGCTGAGTGTGAACAAGTTTCACAGTGAGGTCTTGAATTGGGTCCTAGTTCAACAGCTCCAACTGGATCTATACCTTCTGATAAAATCTTACCTGTGATTTCTTTGCATTCCACTCCAACCCTAATTAATTAGAAAGAGAGAGAGAGAGAGAGAGAGAGAGTGTCAAGGACTAAGACAGGGTAGACAGAAATATAAATTGAGAAGGTGAGACTCCTCCAAGAAGCAGGAGCCAGAGGTAAGCTTCTATCACAGTCATTCACTTACAGGCAGCGCCGTGACATCCACACACACATCTCTTTAGATGATGATCTCCCTTTCCTAGCACACATCCCAGAATTGCCATTTAATCACACGTCTAAACATCTCCTGAATATTGTCCTTTGTAACTTCACTCCTGCTGCTTACTGCTTCATTTGTTAAAAGAATAATGTTTTGATTCATCACAGGCAATCCTGGAACAGATAGGGATGTTGCAGGCATGGCCTCATGGTGTTCTACTACAAATCAACAGCAGAAACACGTGGCAAGAGGGAATAATTATGCTGATGGGTTCATGCCTTTAAGAAGATCACAACTAAAAATTGTATTTTTCAGAACACCAGCTTGCTGCACACACACACACACACACACACACACACACACGTGAAAGGAACCCTCTCTGTAGTTACAGCTGAAATGGGCACACTTAGATTTCTTTTCCATACCACTACCACTTCCCCCTAGCCTCATCCTGGATTTGAATTCCACCAGGACTCTTCCTAGAAAAAAAAGTCATGAACTCAAGAGCCAAACTTCTTGAATGCTGTTCCCATCACCCCAATTTACTATCTCTGTTCCCTTAACCTCTCTGTGCCTCCGTTTTCTTATCTTTAAAATGGGGTGATAATAGTACCTATGTCATGGGACTATTGAGGTGATTAAATGAGATAAGGTTGTAAAGTGATTAGTGCAGAACTTAGCACATGACAAGCTCTACATGTACTTGTTGTTGTTAAGCAGAACGTTTGGGCTTACTAAATGCCAGGCTATGAAGAAGAAAGATGAAAACCCAGCCCTCACCTTGTCCCAACCTTCATTCTAGTACAAGCAGCAGTAACCAAGTCAGTACATGAGTACCTTCAGGGAGGGATGGCTGATTTGAAGCACATGAATAGTTTCAGTGGATATGGAGACCTGTTTTAGCCAAAGTGGTCAGAATCATACTGTCTCAGGCAGTAACTTTGACACTGACACTGAAAAATCAGAAGAGATGGGGGAGCCTTGTTTTCCCAGACAAAAGAAAGGCAAGGGTTAAAGAGCAATGATGAGCTGGGCTTTGTTTGTCTGAGGGGGTGAGTGAAGAGCTCAGTGGTTGGAATGTGGTAGACCTGGGAGAGGGATACCAGGACGCAGTCAGACAGGCCAGGCCATCGGCCACACCACGCAGGCTGAATATAAAAGGCCCTGTCTGGTCAAGTGCTAAGTCTGGGCTTAGACACTTCAGTCTTGGTTAGAGGCTGCTCCTTTTGGATACTCCCGCAGCCTTAGAATGTGACCTTGGGAAGCTGGATGCACATGATCGACTCTCTTAATTGTACTCGCATTAAGGGCCGAACCCCTGAACTGTGTCATGGAGAAGACCAAGTTCTCGGTGAGCCCAAGCTGACCCAGTGCCGTGTGAAGTGAGGCCCATTAACAAATGACTCCTCCATCCTGGGCAGCAAAGCTGGGGCGGTGTCAGCGTGGCAAACAGTAGTACGTTCTGTTGTCCTCAGAACATGCCACTCTGTCACATTGGACCAGGCAGGCCCAGGGTTGGAAAAAAACACACCAAATAGTTCTCATCCCTCATGAAAGAAAAATACTAAAAATAAAATCCACACCATGAAAACTAGGAAATATAAAAAATGGCAGCTATGACATGGAAAATGACAATTTTAGAGCAATTATAAACGAAAGGCAAAGTGCCATTAAAGTTAAGGCAATGTTATTAAAAGATGTGTTAATTTTCAGTTAAATTTTCTATAAAAGACCAATTAGTTTAAAAGCCTTGACAGCATTACTGTGAAACATAAGCTCTGGTAATTATGCTGTGAAAAAATAAAAAGAGGAAGATGCTCTGGCGCGTTGCAGACACGGGCAGACAGCGTCCGCAGAGCGGCTAGATGGCGCTGCGGGCTCAGAGTTCCAGGTTGCAATCAATGGTCCTTCCCCAGCA